TTATATTTTTTAAACCTAAGTTTGGCAGCTTCACATCAGGTTCTGCATTTGTGTGGAGGCCTGTGGCCCATCTTGAATGATCCTGTGTGTGGTGTGAGGTGGGGTCGGAGTTCCTTCTCTATATGAAAACCCAGCTGATGGAGAACCCCTGCTGAAACCTTCTTTCCTCAGGGGCAGGCGCAGGCACCTCTGATACAATCAGGCAGCTGGGTCCGTGCCAATGTTTCTGGGCTCCTGGCTCTGTTGGCACCTGTGTGAGGCCTGAGGTTGGTGCCCATCTCATGATGGGAGCTTTGTATTGGGCAAGTTCGGAGAGCTGCCTGGTTCTCCCGCTTTGATTTTGGTTTTCCTGATTGCCTGTCTGTCAAGGTTCTTTGCTTTTCCATAGGATTTCAGCCTCGGCGAGTTCACTTTGCTATAGTGCCTGGTGGGCTTGCAGTTGGCATTATGTCAGATCTATAGATCAGTCTGGAGAGAACTACTCTTGGAACAGGGCTCAGATGGCTCCCAGGCCACACACACGGCATCTCTACGTACCCAGTCACCATGATGTCAGATGTGTAGATCAGTCTGGAGAGAACTGCGCTTGGAATGGGGCTGAGATGGTGCTTAGGCCACACACATGGTGTCTCTATGTACCCAGGCGATTTTTTCTTTCAGCAGTGTTTTGTGGTTTTCAGAATAGATCTTCCACCTATTTTGTAACATGTATTCTGAAGCCTTAAGTTTTTTGAGGATATTGTACATAGTTTTTTAAAGTTTCATTTTGATATTTTGTGGTGATAAGACATGAAAATCCAGGAGGCTTCTGTGTTGACTGTGTGGTCCTGCCAGGTGCTCAGCGCAGCCCCTGCAGTGATTGCTGTTTTTGGTTGGGAGGTTGGAGCAGTGGCGTTTGAAAGCGATTGACCTTAGTGTTTCCTCTTTTTTATGAGTTGCTCATGGGTCCCTTTGCAGAGTTAAGTCTAGATCATGACTCGAAACACTGTATTGAGCTAGGAACTTGGAAGTTTGGATGAATTCTGTAAGTTGTGTAGAATTGAACCATTAAGCATGAAACATCCTCAGCACTGCATGATGGCAGAATGTAGGATGGATTGGTGAGGCTGCAGAGTTTTTGGGAGCGCCCTTAACAAACCCACTTTTCCTTTGAAAAGTCATTGGCTGAGGGGTCAGTGCATTATCCTTGGCTGACTCAGATGGCTCAGGGTTGGTGGTAAGGAGTCCCAGGACACTCAGGCTCCCAGGAGCCAGAGAGGCAGGCCAAGTGGCTGGGCTGTGCGGAGCTAGTCTGTGTAGACGCTGTTCCTGCCCCACCGATGGGCACAAAAGGGAATCCCATCTGGAGTTCTGGTTTCACCTGGGCTCCCCATGGCCCCTGCTGCCTCCTGCCTAGCTGCCTAAGAGCTCAGGACCCTCACTTTGTGTTGGCAGGCACCTCTGACATGGGGTCAAACCTGGCAGCTCCCCTTTCTCTTCCCAGTGCCAAGTCAATTCTGCCCCACCAGGAGGGCTCTGCAGGTGCTGGTTCACTGACAAAGAACGATTCACTGTGTCCACTCAGTGGCGCATCCTCTTCATGGCATCCTGTCATATGGATACTCATGACCTGTGTTCTTTTGGAAGGAATTTCGGACATGGCTGAGGGAGGAATGGGGGCGCACGCTGGAGGACATCTTCCATGAACACATGCAGGAGCTCATCCTGATGAAGTTTATCTACACCAGTCAGTACGAGTGAGTGCGGCGGCCTCCCACTTGGTGCTGGGGTGGCCCCTTCCTGGTGGGTGTTGGGGCATAGTCCTCTCTCCCTCCCAGTGGGTGATAGTATGCAGTCCTCTCTCCTGCTGGGGGCTGGGAGTGGGGCCCCTCTCTGTGGTGCTGGGAGCATAGTTCTTTCTATGGATGCTAGGTTACAGTCTTCTCTCTCTCACTGGGTGCTCAAACATAGCCCCTCTCTCTGTGGGTGCTAGGCTGCAGTCTTCTCTCCTTGTAGCCCTGTGTAGGTGCTGGGTACATAGTCCCTCTCTCTGTGGGTGCTGAGTGCAGCCCCTCTGTGAGTGCTGGGACCACAGCCCTTTCCTGGTGGTTGCTGTGGTGCAGCCCCTCTCTCTGGGTATTAGGACCAGTCATCTCTCTGTCAGTGCTGGGAGTGCAGCCCTTTCTCTGTGGGTGGTGAGAGCATAGCTCTATGGGTGGAGCAGCATAGCCCCTCTCTCCTGGTGGTGCTGGGAGTACACTCTCTCTCTCTCTGAATGCTGGGAGTGCAGGCGTCCCTGTAGCTGCTGTGGCACAGCCCCAGACCCCTTCCTTCATCTGGGTGTCTGTTTTTGTCTGATTTGTCACCCCTGCCAACACTCATGCTCTAGAGTGTGGCGCTGCTCAGCCCAGTGACTTGGGCTCTTTCTCCCCCGGGTAGTGGAGCAAAGGGGCACTTCCTTTCCCCTCCCGCCTAAAGCTCTGCACTGGCACTGATGCCTCCCTTCCCTCCAGAAGCCCTGTTGGAAGCATGCATGCAGGTGGGTGGGGGTGAGGGCTCCCCCAGGGGCATTGCTGCCCACAGCTTGGTGGATGCCTGGCCCTGGTTGAGCTGAGCTGCCCCCCCTACCCTGCCCTGCAAAGCTTGGCCCCGGTGCCTCGTGCATCCACAGTCCTGCTGCCCAGCCCTCCTGTGCTAACATGCTGCTTCCCACAGCAACTGCCTGACCTACCGCCGCATCTACCTGCCGCCAAGCCGCCCTGATGACCTCATCAAGCCAGGCCTCTTCAAAGGCACCTATGGTAGCCACGGCCTGGAGATTGTGATGCTCAGCTTCCATGGCCGGCGTGCCAGGGGCACCAAGATCACGGTGAGTGGTGGCTGCCCTGGCCAACTGGGCTGTACAGTCACGGAACTTGGGCAGACATAGATCCCTGGTGCCCTTGCTCCTCAGAGTGGGCTTATACTTGTAGCTCTGTGAGCTTGGGAATGCAGATTCTAGGGCCCCAGCCAGCCCCACTGAACTAGAATCACATTTCTATGAAACCCTGAGGGAGTCCATGTGCTTCCACACCAGCGTTCAGCTCCGGCCACCCTGGCAGCCCTGGGAGGTCGCAGCGGCATGGAGACCCTTGTACTCACAGACAGCCCTCACCGTCTTGGGGCTTCGGCAGCTCCTCTTCTGGGAGCGACCTGAGGGCAGGCTGTGTGGTGAGCCCAACGGTATTGCTCCTCTCCTGGGGCTGTGAACAGGGCTGTTATGAGCACAGGCTCATTCCCCATGCCAGGGCTGCCAGCACATGCTGCCTGCTTGCCCCGCATGGTTATTAGGGATCCTTGCGGACAGTGCCTGAAGGGGCAGAGCCTCTTACTTGAGCCTCCAGGGATCAGGGCCACATCTGGCATGATGGGGCTTTCCCTGAACCCCAGTGTTTTGGCTCCTAGACTCCTCATGGAGTTTCGGGGCTGAAGGATGTTCCTGGGGTTCAGCTCCTAAGCTGTGCCTTTCAGGCAGACAGATCTGGGCTGTCCTTTGGGCTGCTGCCTGGCTCTGGGATGCTCTTTGAACTTCTCTGGGTGTGGTTAAGCTGGTATGAGCCAGCTGCTGTCCTCAGGGGCACTCATAGGCGTCACTGGCCCCCACCACTTTCTAAAGAATTCTGAGACTTCTTCCTCTGTAAGACATGCTGCTAAGTCAGCAGGAGGGCTGGTGCCAGCTCATTCAGCCACTGGGCTAGATCCCACACAGTGGTGCTGCAGCTGCTGGCCCTAGCCCTGCTGATCACCACCTGCTCCACAGGGCGACCCCAACATCCCTGCCGGGCAGCAGACGGTAGAGATCGACCTGAGACACCAGATCCAGCTGCCTGACCTCGAGAACCAGCGCAACTTCAACGAGCTATCCCGCATCGTCCTGGAGGTGCGAGAGCGGGTGCGCCAGGAGCAGCAGGAAGGCGGGTACGAGGCAGGCGAGGGGCGTGGCCGACAGGGCCTCCGGGAATCCCAGCCAAGTCCTGCTCAGCCCAGGGCAGAGGCACCCAGCAGGGGCCCAGATGGGACACCTGCTGAGGACGGCGGTGAACCTGGGGATGCCGTGGCTGCGGCCGAACAGCCTGCCCAGAGTGGGCAGGGGCAGCCATTTGTGCTGCCCGTGGGCGTGAGCTCCAGGAATGAAGACTACCCCCGAACCTGCAGGATGTGGTAAGGATGTAGTGGGCACTGGGGCCAGAGGGTGGGTCAGCATGGGTTTCATTGAGGGCCCCAGGCCCACACCCAGCATGGGCAGAGAGGGCCTGTGACCTCACAGAGGGTAGCAGCTGGAGCTTTGGGACACGAGTGGGGCCGGCCTCTGACCCCTTGGAGCACATCCCTTGGCACCTGAGTAAGTGGCTGCACAGCTGTGTCCTGTCCTTCCACCCCTTCTGGGGGACCTCAGAGCTGCAGGGCACAAGGCCTCGTAATGCCCCACATCCCTGCAGTAGTGCCGCTCCACTAGTGGCTTCTAAATCTAGTTTCCAGTCAGTCAAGTGAAAGCAGGTGAAGTGTCCAACAGCTTTGAAAGTAGGAAACAAAGTCCCCTTCCCTACCTACCCACCCACCCTGTGGAAAGCCCACTTTGGTTTGCCTGGGTGTTGTCCTGGGTGGCATCTTTCTGGGCACCTTTGGCCATCTCCCCATGCATGCGGTTCAGATGTGGGTACTGCTTTTCTCCTCTCCCTCCTCCATGCCTGCCCGCCTCTGCTGGGCCAGGCCAGTGCCTGGGTGGCCAGTGGAGTGGACACCAGCTGAGACTGCATGGCAGGTGCTGGCACTGCCGCTGGTCCTGCAGGGCTTGGGCTGCTGACTTGAGATGAGGCCTGCACAGCTGCCAGCTGCTGTCTTACTGGCTTTTTTTACACAGCTGTCTGGGCCACTGAGGTCCCCTTCCATTTATGCTGCTCCTCATAGATGAACAAGGCCCTTGCCCTGTGTTCTTACCCTTTAGGACTGTTAAAGTTTAAATGAACTGAAATGGAATAAAATGAAAAATCCAGGCCCTCAGCCACCCAGGCCATGTTTCAAGTACTTCCTGGCCACATATGGCTGGTGGACAGTGCACTTCTAGAACATTCCATCAACACAGAGGGTTCTGCCAGACAGTGGCCTTGGGGGTCATTTTGAGGGTCCGCCTGTCAGTCTCCTGGCATCAAAGTCTTTCTGCCATTTTCACATTACAAGTTATTTTCCTTTTACCTGCAAGCCATGTCACCATGTGTCTGCATTTCCCACTAAACTTCCCATCATGGAGGGAGGTGCCACTGGCCCAGATGGGGTTTGGATGTCTGGGTGGGGCTTTCTTCATGTTCACATGTATAACAGTGACTGAGGAGCTTACAGAGAGAGGCATACAAATAGTGTCATAGTGTTGTTTTAGCTGGTGTAAATGTTTGAATAGCTATAAAAGGAAAAAGCTCTGCTACCCTTCAAAAATGTCAAAACTCCTAAAACCTCACAACCGGCTCAGAGCCAGTTTGCAGGTCACAGCATGTGCTACGGCCACTGGCCGGAGAGCCCTCCAGCCCCTCTTCCCAGCTAACCTGCATGACAGTCCACCCCATGCTGAATATGGGAGCTCCCGGTCCTTCCCTGTTTGGTTTATGGGTCTGAAGGGCCTGGCCACAGCATCTGTACAGGGAATGCCTCTTGCTTTTTGCGAGCACAGTGCTGATGACTGTACCTGCCTCTCGGCCCTGGAGCTTCTCCCTCCACCTGAGACGACCTCTGAGGCCCAGGCCCTGGTCCAAGGGGGTACTCACCCACCAGACCTTTGGAGCCTTTGTGGCTGGATGATTCTCGCCATTTGTTGGAAGAATTTAGCTGCTTGCAAGACAGCCATAAGTGTTTTCCCGTTTGATGTTGACTTCAGAGCCATAAATGGGTGTCTGCGAGTTCTTCCCCCTGAGTGAATGTCAGCTGCAGGCCATCTACATTATATCTCATTGTTTGTATGGGGACATAACTCCCTGAAATGAAGATTTTTTCATGTTGGGCCTGGTATGAAATGTGTGTTTTGGAATAGAGCTCTTTGGGCCTGCAGAGACCTCTTGTTTTAGTTTGGTGAGGCAGCACCGTGTGCAGTGAGTGAGTGAATCCCTCTCACAGGTGCTGTGCGTCAGTGCCCACACCCCAAGCAGCCTGGAGGTCTGGCCTCTGCAGCCATCATTAGGTGGGCTTGACCTGTGCCCTTAGCTACCCCTGCAGAGGCAGGCTCAGCACACACCCCCAGCTACCCTTGCAGAGTTTCAGCCCGCACCCCCAGCTGCCCCTGTAGAGACAGGCTGGCTTTGGGAGTCAGCTTGTGGCTGATGAATAGTGGATGTGGCTCTTGTGGAACGGAGGAGCATCTCAGAATGCCAGACTTGAGGTGAACTTGACTCAGCCCTCCTCCCAACTCACACTTATCCTCTTGTCTCTGTTCAGTTTTTATGGCACAGGCCTCATCGCGGGCCATGGCTTCACCAGCCCTGAACGCACCCCTGGGGTCTTCATCCTCTTCGACGAGGACCGCTTCGGGTTCGTCTGGCTGGAGCTGAAATCCTTCAGCCTGTACAGCCGGGTCCAGGCCACCTTCCGGAATGCAGATGCGCCATCCCCACAGGCCTTTGACGAAATGCTCAAGAACATTCAGTCCCTTACCTCCTGACCAGCCACATCCTTGCTGCCACATCCTGGGTAGCTTTGGGGCTCTGGACTCTGACCTGTGAATAGAAGCAGCATGCACTTTGGAAATACAGCCTTTTGACCAGAATGCACACCTCATTGGGGGTCCCTGCACAGCCACACCCCAGCACTTTATGTAGAGAGTGTGACAGGCCTGCATATTTGTCAGTGCCGTGATGGAGGAAGCTGAGCATGTCTTACCAAAAAAGAGAATGAGCTGGAATACAGTGGATCTAGGGGCCAGCTGCGGGACCGTGTGAGAATTGAAGCAGTGGGGTTGCTGCACCCTGGGCTGGCTGGCGTTTTTCTCGGGAAACAGGACTCTCCTCTGGCGCGCTTTTCCTGGGAGCGGATAGAATGATAGAATGGGTCGTGTGTCAGACACATGTGCTCCACCCCACTCCTGCTGGGGGGAGCCAGGCAGAAGTGGCCTCTGGGGAGGGGGTCAGGAAGAGAACACCCAGGCCGTGCAGGTGTGATGGGCACAGCGTGTGGAGAGCAAGCTTGGGAAGTTGGTGGGATCTCAGGGTTGGGGGCGGACTCTGGATTGAATCCCATCTCTCTCTCTCGGCTCGGTCAAGTTTGGACAGAAGCATTTCACCTCTGATCTCAGCTTCCTCACCTGTGGAGTGGTTGTAGTGACCTGAGTCACTGGAGAATGTCAATGTGAGTGCACAGCCCGGCCGACACACCTGCCCCGGCCCCTCTTCTCCAGCTTTGGAGCTGAGGCCATTGTTCCAGCCACTTGACTGTCCTCGTCAGCCTGTTCCAGACAGGGCGTTTTGTCCTTGCTTTCCTCCATGCACGCAAGCATTGTCAAAACCAAGCTGCCAGCCATTTTCTCCAGAACACAAGGCTCCAGGCTCGCATTTCTGAAGCAGTCCTTGCATTTCTCTCCTGTGAGTGGTTCACTCAGGTGCCAGGAATGCTCATACGAGATGATGAGGAAAGCCCTTTGCAGTTGAGGGGACAGCTTTCTTGAAAAGCCACACCTACGTCTGGGGACACATTTTGGAAAGCAGGACCCCCTGGGTACACTTCAGCTTGGAGACCCCATGCACTGATGCCTCCACTGCTGTGTGCCCTGTGTTGTTAACACCTCCGTGTGGGGACCCCATTGAAAATCTTGGCTGAGGTTGGCATCTCCTGAAGAAGAGGGAGCACGGTGCCCAAAGCTGGCTGTTGCCCTAGCCCACAGCCAGCTCCGTGCCCGAGTGGGTGTCCCTGGTGAGTCTTCCCTTTCTGCTACTAGTCCTTGTGCTGGGTACCCTGGACACGTCCTACTGGTGAGGGACCTTGGGAAGGTGACAGTCTGTGTGCCTTTGTCTGGAGACCAACCTGAGAATATCCTGGGAAACATTTTCCTGATCAACTTCTGACTGGCCTTTAAAAAAAAAAAAAAAATTCCTACTGCCCAGCCTCAGTGCATTTGGCAAATTCTTACTTTGCTTCCCAGAATCAGAAAATTGGCAAGGTCCTTAAATGGTAATCTGGCCCGCCTGGGAAAAAGACTCAGGAGAAAAGCCAGTGGAGAAGGTGGCAGTAGGGCGGCCCACCCAGGAGCCATGCAGATCCTGAGGCACACCTGCCGGCTCTCCGTGTGGCCAGATTCTAGCAGCTTTTGCAGCATTAGCCTACACGCTTTGTCACTCCTTGCCCTCTGTGGTGGTCACTATTTTTCTCTCATGCCAAATGATGCGGTCCCTGAGGGATGGTGACTTGTGGCCCTGAAGCCTGGGGGACCCTCAGGCATGTAGACTGGCACCCTTCAGGGTTCACCATTGTTTCAATAAAATCAAGAAAATGCATTTTTACCAGGAGCCTGAGGCTTGCTCTAAGGGACCCAGTCCCTCAGAGGCATGCCCTTTGGGGCTTGAAGAGCACACTGGTGGGAGACGAGCACTTCTGATTAAAGGAATCTCAAATCTCAACTATGCTTCCAGTGTTTGGGTGCATAAATGGTTTCCACTCACAATGTCTCAAATAGCCATGGGCTGTGAGTCAGTTCACGTGGCTTCTGGTTCTGGTGTGTGTGTTGTGGGGGTTTGTCCATGGTGGTGACCTGTGGTGATGCCAGGCAGGGCTGGAGCCATGCAGCCTGGAAGGGGAGGCCTTCTTGGCCGCACAGTCAATCCCTCCAGTCATGACTACAGGTCTTGTTTTTTCCACTCTGCTGTGTCCTTAGCCAGTTCTTGGCTCTGATTCTGTAGGGACAGGCACAGAGTCTGTGCGCCTCCAAACATGGCAGCTTCGCTTACTGGGGAAAGCATCCACCCTCCAAGAGGAACCTGCAGTTGGTCCATTCCCTGCAGGTGAGGACTCGGAAGGGCTGATGTCATCCTCAGAGGCCTAAGGGCAGCTGAGATTTAGGTAAAACTGTTTTTAAGGAGGCTGAGAAACCCAGTTTGGGATAGCCAAGCACATTGGAGCTTGACTGGGAAGGTGGCCGGTGGAGCTGGGAGGTTGGTGCTCTCCATCTTTTGCCCCACGGATGCTTTTCCTCGTCATCTCACCCCTCTGGGGCAGGATCGAATCTGCTGTTTGGATGGAATGTGGCTGCCTGCAGTGCAGCTCTGTGTACCTGAATGTGCTTTTTGTCACTTGTTTGGAAATGATGTGATTGAAGATTTCAGACAGGTCACTGGGGACTTTTCTGTACCAGCACTGAATGTTTGCATGAGGAAGCTGCAAACATCTGTAGGTTGAGATTCAGGACGGGTGGTATTGGAGTCCCTTAGCCCATCTGACCTGGGCCCTAACCTCAGGGTCTGCTGCTGAATGTGAGTGGCTTTGGAGGCCTGGTGGTGGGAGAGCCTCAGGCTCCCTTCTTTCTCATTCCTGACCATGCCCTGGGCCCCTTCGGCCTGGCTGTGGCTCTGTGGCATCCCTGCCCTGACACTGGCACTTGTGTCCCTAGCAAGCCCACCTGGCACACGAATAGGGAGGGGTGGGTGGTCTTGGCTTTCCTCTAGCCACATGCCCTGCTGGCCACTCCATTCCCAGCTTTGTGCAGAACCAGGTGAAAACTGGAGTTTTTTCTTTGAGAACTTGGAGGTGTGCTGTAGCCGTATGCAAGGGCCTTACAGCTGCTGGCTCTGACTTCCCTGACTTGGAGGTTTGTTCACTCCCAGGCTTTCTCACCCGCACAGGGTTAGGCCATTTGCAGTGCTTGTGGGCAGTCATGGAGAGCAGCAGAACCTCCTCAGCCCCTTCATTACTTCAGAACGCCCATCCACGTGCATCTCCTGAGCTCCTGTTCTCCTCCTCCTCATGGCTGTGGGGGTCTCAAGTGTGAACAGGAGACACCGAGCTGCGGTCCACCATCCAAGGCTCTGCTGAAAGCTGCTGGCTCTTTTAGGATCTTTCTATTCTGGTTGCTACCTTCATGGTGTAACTTTTAAGAATGCTTATGGGAATGAGCTCATAGAACTGCCACCTGCCCTGAGAATAGAACTCTTCAAATCATGATGAAGTCCAGTGTTAACGTACACTGACCTGTCTTTGTTTCTGGGGCGAGATCAGGAACATCACTTGACTACACATCCTCAGCATTTTTGTATTTTTTTGAGAAGGAGTTTCACTCTTGTTGCCCACGCTGGAGTGCACTGGCATAATCTTGGCTCACCGTAACCTCTGCCTCCCTGGTTCAAGCGATTCTCCTGCCTCAGCCTCTTGAGTAGCTGGGATTACAAGCATGTGCCACCAGGCCCGGGTAATTTCTCCATGTTGGTCAGGCTGGTCTTGAACTCCCAACTTTAGGTGATCTGCCCGCCTCGGCCTCCCACGGTGCTGGGATTACAGACGTGAGCCACTGCACCCACCCCAGAATATTTAGAGAAGAAAGCAGATGATGATTTCTGTTTGGCTGATACTTTTTTGAGACAGGTTCTCACTCTGTTACCTGGGCTGGAGTGCAGTGGCACGATCACGGCTTACTGAGGTCTCAACCTCCTAGGCTGAAGTGATCTACTCACCTTAGCCTCCCAAGAAGCTGGGACCAAGGCACCCATCACCATGCCCAGCTAATTTGTTTTTGTAGAGATGGGGTTTTGCCATGTTGCTCAGGCTGGTCTTGAACTCCTGGGTTCAAGCAATTCACCCACCTCAGCCTCCCAAAGTGCTGTGATTACAGGTGTAAAGCACTGCACCCAGCCTTGGCCTGTACTTTGAATGGGAATGAGACTGTGCAAACCGTGGAATACCCTGTGTCACCCACAACTCAGTGGCCTGCACGCCAGGAGACCGGCCAGAGCACATGAGGTCAGAGCCATGTGGGTTTTGGGCTGATTCTGTATTTGGTTGTTCCTGGAGGTGACATAACCTGCCTGCAGAAGGAAAGTGCTGTGCCATCTGATTGTGAGCCCCTTCGCTAGTAAGGTGACCTCATAGCAGGAGCTGTGTTCTGCCTGGGCAGGCGCCCAATAGGCAGGACCAGAGCAAGCCCAGTAGCTGCCACCTGCACCCATACACTTGTATTTCTCCTCACCATTTTAAGTAAATCTGTTTTTCAAGTCGTGTTGTGTGTTTTGTAATTTGTTTCTTTGGGAATATGATTCAGATGGAGGCAGAGCCTTAAGCCATGCAGGCTGTCAGTCCGGGAAACCAGGCTTCCCAGCCTCTTCTTTACAAAGTGTCCAATTTCCCGCACTGACAGAAGGGAGCACTGAAGGGATGCCTTGGAATCCAGACAGTGGTTGTCCCTGTGTCCTTCTCTTTGACCTGGCATCAGAAGGGAGGACCCCATTCCCTTTGGGTCCCCATTCCCTACTCAGGGATCCGAAGGGAGTGGGGGCCCCAGTGGGCTTTCTTAGATTTAAGCCGAAGTGAGTTGCATTATCTGAAACCAGGATAAGAACAGGACAGATATGGGAGGGACTGTGCTTGGAGCCATGCAGACGAACTGACACTCTCATAGATCTTTCTTTTCTGTTTTCTAAAGTGCTATGTTATTGTAAACAGTTCAAGTCTTTAGCATAGACTGTGAAAGTACCTCCTGTTCTCATCCCAGCCTCCCTGTGAGTCACTGCTGTTAATTAATGCTGTTAGCTTGGAATTGAGAAAAAGGATGTTTTCATGGAAATGCACTCAAAGTACACCATCGATTGGCAGAAATTGGCAAGTGTGATTTTCTAAATGTTGGCAGTGATGCAGGGGAGCAAACCCAGGAGGGGCAGCTATTTGGGGACAGCTCAGCTGGTACTAGCTCATGGCACTAAGGACATGGGCCCAGGAACTGGCAACTGCAAGGTGTCTACCTTGGGGAAACACAAGAGCCCAGGTGTGGGCCACACAGACGTTCACTGCTACACTGTGACCAGTCACTGGCCGGAAGGAGGTGGGTGGACTATGGTGGAGCCAACCTTAGTGTCACACGGCAGGCGGACACACAGCCTTGTTCCATTGCAAAATGAGTAAAGTGAGAGATGGTATTTGTGTAACATGTAAAAATGCAAATACCTAATTTTTATCAATTGACATGTGGTGAAAAACTGAAGATAGTGTGGGAATGGTATGGTCACATCTAGGGGTGTTAAAAGGCAGAAGCTCAACTCTGTTTTGCTTTAAAAAATGAGGTTCGTAGGCCGGGCGCGGTGGCTCAAGCCTATAATCCCAGCACTTTGGGAGGCCGAGGCGGGTGGATCACGAGGTCAAGAGATCGAGACCATCCTGGTCAACATGGTGAAACCCCGTCTCTACTAAATATACAAAAAATTAGCTGGGCATGGTGGTGCATGCCTGTAATCCCAGCTACTCAGGAGGCTGAGGCAGGAGAATTGCCTGAACCCAGGAGGCGGAGGTTGCGGTGAGCCGAGATCGTGCCATTGCACTCCAGCCTGGGTAACATGAGTGAAACTCCGTCTCAAAAAAAAAAAAAAAAAAATGAGGTTTGTATGGCAGAACTAGCATCTGTTCGCCTGTTGATCCTGACACCACTGATTATGAGATCTCCCTCTTTTCTGCGTGGTTCAGAGACCAGCCCCTCAGGCAGCACACAGTGCCACGAACAGTGACCTGCAGGCCTACTCACTGCCATCCCCACTGGCCTGCCAGCTGCGGTTGCTTCCTGGGCACTGAGCACTTTCCTGGGAGAGCAGGGGATCATGGGTCCCTGGTGGTGGGCACTTCCTTCTCCGGGAAGAGTAGCGGGTTGTGGGTCCCCGGCGGTGGGTGCTTCATTCTCCGGGGAGAGCAGTTGGGTCGTGGCTCCCTGGTGGTGGGTGCTTCCCTCTCCGGGGAGAGCAGGGGATCATCAGTCCCTGGCAGTGGGCGCTTCCTTCTCTGGGGAGAGCAGGGGATATTTGGTCCCTGGCAGTGGGTACCTCCTTCTCCGGGGAGAGCAGGGATCTTGGGTCCCTTGGCCTACGGCGCTTCCTTCTCTACTCACAGGTTTGCTGTTGTTTCCAGGCCTTTCTTTGGGGCCTGGGTCCTAGCCATGGGGTCATCCTCAACTGCGTGGGCCATGCCAACCACATACAAATCACTTGCTACAAGCAGCACCACAGAACCTCCTGTTTGAACAAGACCCTGCACCCCACAGACTGAAGATGCACCCCGATTTCCCAGGTCACACGGGGAAGTGTGGATCTGATAATGGACTAAGTGTGACATCTTTAACACATCTCGCGTTTTATTTTAAAATGAAAAATATCAAGTCATGGGGAAGGAGTAAAACACTGCTGCCTGCTACAGTTCCCCTCTTGCTGCAAGGGCATGGACGGCCCAGACGGGGGGACCTGCTCCTGGCCTGGGTGCCACAGCCTCACCTAGATGCAAGGGCACAGGCTTTGTTCTCCAGGGATCTGTCCAACACCAGCATCACCCCAGGGGCTCGGGCCTTGGGCTTTTCTCTCTGCTGCTGGGGCTGAGGGGACAGCAGATAGGCAGCGAGGCTAGTGGCTGCCCAGGCTGGCTGTGTCCAACACCAGAGGGTGAGGCAGAGTCTGAGAGGGAGTTGTGGCTGGGTCACCTGGTCCCAGATGGAGCTCACTCCTCCCTCTGGGGGCCGCTTGGCTGCACTGCCCTTAGAGGCATGGTGCTTTGCCCACCCAGTGGATGGCATGGCTTTGTGCTTCCTCCCCTTGCAGGAGGCAGCATGCCCGGGGTCCTCCCTTTGTCCCTGCTCCTTAGAGGAGGTCCCTTTTTGCTGTGTGACCTTTAGTGGGCACTTAGGGTCATTGCTGAGGGCTTGCCCTCAACCAGCAATGTGAAACGAAGAGTGCCATTTGGATAGTTTCCAAACTTACCCCCCGCACCCTCCCCATTTTTACTTGAAAACTCCTGAGGACGGGATCCAAGCTGGCCGAATAGCAAGAGCTCTGGACTGCAGTTCCCAGCAAAAACGCAGAGGCCACTGCAGGTGATTCCCCAGGCAAGCAGGGTCTGGAGTGGACCTCTAGCAGTCCTACAGCAGAGGGGCCTGACTGTTAGAAGGAAAACTAAGAAACAGAAAGAAATAACTTCATCATCAACAAACAGGATGTCCACTCAGAGACCCCACCTGAAAGTCACCAACTACAAAGACTACAGGGAGATAAATCCAAAAAGATAGGAAGAAACCAGCATAAAAAGGATGAAAACACCCCAAACCAGAACACCTCTCCTCCTCCAAGGGCTCACAACTCCTCACCAGCAAGGGAACAAGACTGGACGGAGAACGAGTGTGATGGAATGACAGAATCAGACTTCAGAAGGTGGGTAGTAAGAAACTTCTCTGAGCTAAAGGAACATGTTTTAGGCCAATGCAAACAAACTAAGAACCTGTAAAAAAGGTTTGACAAAATGCTAACAAGAATAAACAGCTTAGAGAGGAACATAAATGAATTGATGGAGCTGAAAAACACAACAGAGAACTTCGCGAAGCATACACAAGTTTCAACAGCTGAAACGACCAAGCAGAAGAAAGGATATCACACACTGAAGATCAACTCAATGAAATAAAACGAGAAGGCAGGATTAGAGAAAAAAGAATAAAAAGAAAGGAACAAAGACGCCAAGAAATATGGGATTATGTGAAAAGACCTAATCTACGTTTGATAGGTGTACTTGACTGTGACGGAGGGAATGAATCCAATCTGGAAAACACTCTTCAGGATATTATCCAGGAAAACTTCCCCAACCTAGCAAGGCAGGCCAATATTCAAATCCAGGAAATACAGAGAACACCACAAGGCTATTCCTCAAGAAGAGCAAACCCAAGGCACATAATCATCAGATTCACCAGGGTTGAAATGAAGGAAAAAATGCTAAGGGCAGCCAGAGAGAAAGGTCGGCTTCCCACAGAGGGAAGCCCATCAGACTCACAGTGGATCTCTGAGCAGAAACCCTACAAGCCAGAAGAGAGTGGGAACCAATATTCAACATCCCTAAAGAAAAGAACTTTTTTTTTTTTTTTTTTTTTTTTTTTTGAGGCGGAGTTTTGCTGTTGTTGTCCAGGCTGGAGTGCAATGGCGCGATCTCGGCTCACCGCAACCTCCGCCTCCTGGGTTCAAGCAATTCTCCGGCCTCAGCCTCCCGAGTAGCTGGGACTACAGGCATGCACCATCATGCCCAGCTAATTTTTGTATTTTTAGTAGAGACGGGGTTTCACCGTGTTGACCAGGATGGTCTCGATCTCTTGACCTCG